TCCAACCTCTAGAAGAGGATGAAGAGCTCCTTGGTCCTGAAATACTCTATCTCGGTGTAGATGATGCACTTATTTATCTTGATAATGCTAACAAAAGTGGTGCAGGTCGTATTGGTAATGCAGATGCAGATTATTTATCCGATACCCATAAAGCTCGATTTCAAACCAGCAAGCAGGGAGTGCATATGATTGAGATCAGTGATTCATTCGAGAAACATGTGGGTTGGAATGTGATAAAATACCCACAATATTATACGGAGACAATGTTTCATGCATAGCACTATTAAAGAGAGGATTTATAAAAGGAGATAGAACGAATAACATTTCACCAGAATTATTCTACACACACGATCTTCAGAAAAGTGGTGACATTGATGTACAACAAATCCGTTCAAGTGATAATCCAGCAGATTTATTCACTAAATCTTTGCCAACTTCAGCTTTTGAGAAGATGGTATACAAGATTGGAATGCGGAGACTCAAATATTTGAAACAAGGTTTTCATCAGGGGGAGTAAAATACGCGATACACTCTTTTTTCCTTACTAAGGTTTTTTCCCATGGGGTTTTCCTTATAAGGTTTTTAATAAGTCACCTAGCAATGCGTATTACTAAATATGTGTACTCTTTTTCCTTCACTAGGATTTTTTCCCACGTGATTTTTCCTAGTAAGGTTTTAATGAGACACATTATCTTTTAATGAACATCCAAGGGGGAGTGTTATAAATATATTATATTATGGATGTTCATTTAGTATTCCGTTGTAAATAATCTTCCTGAAGAAGCTTATCCATATGAGACTCCACCGTAAATATGTTTATCTATTTAGTACTCTATTGGAAATAAGCTTCCTGAAGAAGCTTATCACTTCGGTACCCGGTTATGGATAAACATTACCTTATGTAGAAGATTATCTATACCGAGTATAATAAGTTTATCCATTCAGTACTCCGTTATGGATAAACATTGCTCTCAGTAGAAGATTATCCATATCCGATATAGTAGCAGCTTGCGTAGCAGCTTACACAGCAGCTTGTAGTAGCAGCTTACACAGCAGCTTACACAACAACTTCCTTTCTTCTATAAATAGAAGAGATTTCAGTTCATTATGTACATCAGTTTGAATTCGAATAATATATCAGTTTCTCTCTATACTTGTCTTTACTTTANAGAGATTTCAGTTCATTATGTACATCAGTTTGAATTCGAATAATATATCAGTGTCTCTCTATACGTGTCTTTACTTTATAGTCTTTATTTTATAACATTAAGAACATTTTTATGTTGGTGTTGTTTGGCAGTTAAAAGTTTTAGACAAATATCAAACAAATTATGTTATATTCTTTTTAAATATTATTTAAAGTTTTAACACACTACTTAAAAAATCCATTTAGTAGGTGTTAATCCATTTAAAATTGAGTAATAGCTGTTAAGAGGGTATAATTCATCTTTTGGAACAAGGATAAAGTTACGGAAAAAATATTTTCTTGGTTTTTTAAAATGACTTTTATTTTGGACTAAACGGGTGGACATGAGAATTGTAAAATTCCAGAAAAAAGAAAAAAAAATTCAAGTAAAAATGCTATTTGAAAATAAGAGTTGTGTTTGGACATAAATGCAATTTGGAGTTGTTTTTTAATTTTTTTGAGTGATTTGAAGTAAAAATTTTGGAAAATATTTTTTTGAAGTTTTTCACAATTTTACAAAATTCTGAAATTTAACATCAAGTAAAATTTGAAATTTTAATGATTAAACTGATTCCGAAAAAAAATTAAAGTTCGGGAAAAAAAATAAAATAAAAAAGTTATGGCCAAACGGGCCATTTTGTCTAAGCTAAAACATCGTGAATATCAAATGTTTCATTTTGTAAAGATCTTGTGAAAAATTCTCAAAAAACTGTCCAAGTGCCAATTATAAAGTATTATATTCTTGTAAAGATTTGTATAGATAAAATTGATTTGAGGATGTTTGATGTAGTAGTTTTTGCAGAAGAAAGGAAAACAAAGATTAATAAACACGTGTAAGGTTAAGTGAACATTATAAAGACAAGAATTGACGTTTAGTCTCCTTGTTTGAATTTACAAACACTAATTACATTGACAATTTAACAATACAATATTACTAGCTTTTGGCTTATTCTATCCTACCTAGAGCTAGCCAAAGCTTAAAAGAATCTTATATAAACATTTTTAATCATCTCTAGATTGTTCTCTATTTTTCTGCCCACCAACTTTTAAGAGCTATTATGCGGTATAGAAACTATTTATATCTGATAATTAAAAAAGTATATAATATTTGTATAATTTTAATATATAACATATAAATGTATATATTCATAAAATATACAAAAAAATTTATATATTTTTTTCAACTATTATTTTTATCGCGACTATACAATATCATTTTCTCAACTTTTAATTCTTTTTTAAAATGAATGGCAGTGTGTCTTTTTTACTAGACTAGACTCCTCTTTAGTATTTAGCCTATCTATTAAAATCAGCTTGAGTGAGACTTCACTAAACACTATAGACTCCTAAAAATTCCAATTCTATAAGCCTAAAAAGAGTATAAGAGAAAGAGAAAGAGAAAGAGAAAGGAAACTCTACTTCTCTCTTCTTAACTCTTTCTAACGCGGAATTCTTCATATCATTCAATCAAACTTCAAATCTAAGTATATTTATTTTCTGCTGTCCTTTTGTTTTTCTTCATTCCCTGAAAGATTTTAAGTCAGAATTTTTCTGCAGAGTCACTGATTTTGGTGAAAATTTGGAGGTAAATATCCTATAATCTGGTTTCATATATTCAAGAAATTAAAATAGCCCTCTTTGTGTACAAGTTCTTGCTTTTTCCTCTTACCTTTTTGTTGTTTTCCTTCTGCAGATTTTACAAGTGAAAATATCTTGTCTTTTTTGTCCTCTTTTTAGTGCTTTTTCGCCACTTCTCAAACCCCCAAAAGCTAGCATTTCTTCTTTCATAGTAACAAACAAATCCATTGAAAATTCACTAAAAAAAAAGAACCAAAATTTTGGTTTCAATACTACTATTTCCTTATCATTTTTAAGCTCAAAATTCACTTGGTTTATTTCAAAAAGACTGAATCTTTATAGGCTAAAGAGAAAATTAAATATGCAAGATCCATCAATTTATACACAAATAAAGCCACAATTTCCAGAGCAAGAACACTTGAAATGTCCAAGATGTGATTCACCAAATACAAAATTCTGTTATTACAACAATTATAATCTTTCTCAGCCACGTCACTTTTGTAAGAGTTGTCGTAGGTATTGGACCAAAGGTGGTACTCTTAGGAATATTCCAGTTGGTGGCGGTTCTCGTAAGAACACAAAACGTTCATCATCTTCAAGTAAGAAAATTTCCTCCTCAACGACGTCGTCTTTAGTTTCATCCTCAAAACCTGATCAGATAACAAATCCAAAACCAGAGCCATTTGGTTTACCTGCAATTCCAGCTTTTGATCAAAACAGTAGTAGAGTGATTGATATGAGTAATGGGCAATTCAGTTCGCTGTTGGAGTCAAACGGACCGCAATTTGGGAATTTGATGGAAGCTTTGAATCCGAGTAATAATAATGGGTCCAATTTGCAGTTGGGTGAATTTGCGAGGAACCAAAATTCAAATTCGGGTTTGGGTTTGGGTTCGGGCTCAGACGGTACCCGTCAAAATGGGAATCATACATATTTGGGAATTCAAAATGGCGGAGATTCTGATAATTGTTGGAATGGTGGTAGCAATGGTTGGCCTGATCTTGCAATTTACACACCAGGTTCCAATTTCCAGTGAATGAAATTGCCAAAAAAATTATTAGAGTTAGTATTACTATTTTCAGAGAAGGTATTTAACTACTACTTTGCTAAGTATTTAACTTTTTATTCTCTCTTTTTTTTTTTTTTTTTTTTTTAAATTCTCTTTTTTGACATTCTTTTGGAAGTGTTGTTACTGATTGCACTCTAGTACTAGTGGTACATAATTTACTTGTGGAAAATGTGGTGGTGAAGTGCTGTGCATGAGCAATGATACTCGTTTTCTATAGGTAATGCAATATAATACATATACTAACGATGTGTGTTGTTGTTACGTCGTTAGTCTATCGGAAATAATTTCTCTACCTTCACAAGGTAGGGTAAGGTCTGCCTATACAGGTTTTTTATTGTTGTGCCAATACTTGTGGTTTTTTGTTGTTGTGCCAATACTTGTGTTTTATTCAACATAATTTTTGGTTCGTTTCTTTTTACCTTGTAAGCAATGGTGGAGTCAAGAATTCAAATAAGGATATTTAAAATAACAATACTGCATGCGATATTCAATTGAACCTTCACCTAACTCCGGTCTGCTCGTAAATACTAACGTGGATGCATTTGTTGACCCGGGAATAGGGTATTGTCTATAATTGGTGTATGGAACAAATCACCTTAATCCCAAGGGCTGTGTTGCTACTAATGCAATTAATCTCCTTTAAAATCGGAAAAATAATGCCGCTGTAAAAATAATAGTCGAATATATTTTTTTGACTACCAAATATAAATAGTTTCTGGTGCGGGTTAAAAGTGATAATACCCCTTTAAAATATAGGAATTGAACTATTATTGAAATGTAAATAATTCGATTAGATTGAAAATCTTTTTAGGGAACATTAGAAAAGGAGACTATTTTTGTTCTTTTTGCATTATATATTCCAAATTAATTTGATGGATGATGGGATGGAGAGGGGTGAAATACAATGAAGATCCCAAATTAAATAGTATTGAAGAGTTCTAGACTTGTTGTAACGTCTTAAAAGGACTAGACATGATCTCGACTTTCCCTTAACTCGATATTCTATCTTATCTTTTTTGCCTCCCCTTTTAGTGTGTTTCGTTTGCTAGTTGCTACAATTAAATTAAATTTGATCTTCTTCTGCCCCCCATCTTGCAGTGATTGTACATGTCGCCGAATACCATGGTCCAAACGATACAGAAAATTATAGAAAAAGTAAAGGCACCGTTAATTAATAGGAAAAATAATATTGTATAGCTTCCGTAAAAATAATAGCAGAGCTAATATATATTTTTTGTTTATATATATATTTTGTATATTATATATAAATTTCATACGGTTAAATTTCTCTATAACAACATCCTTGTATAACAATCATTCGCTATAAAAGCCAATTATTTCGTGGAACCAATTTTTATATTACGTTATAATATATGTTTTCTGTAATAGCACTTCATTGTGACAACCAAAAAATATCGAAACAAACGGGTACTGTTATAAAGAGGTTTAATTGTACACTTTTTCGGCTACCAAATGTAAATAATTCATAACGCAGGCTAAAAATGATAACACTCCTTTCTTAATACAGTATTAAATGTAGCCCATGAAAGTATTATATGTTCAATACGCACAGAGTTATGTGCGTTTGATTAGCTATAATATTATGTGGGTTTGACTAACTATAATATTCATCAACGGATCATTTTGATGTAGTTCAAATCAGCACAAGAAAAAAGTTAAGACTTCAATTGGAGCTGCATATTATATTGTCCAAATTGACGCGTAAGAAAACTTGTCAAATCAATCTGCTTGTTAGAATTGGTGTAATGGTAGGAGGAATTTTCATAAAGCACGGTAGTTTAAAGCCTAGTAACTATAGTTTGCCTAATTTATCATTTGTAGCTACAATTCAATTGTTATCGTCACTTGTATTCAAATGTGCAACGAATACAACATGTATCAACTATATTCGTTCGCGCAACAAATACAACCAAGACGAAATACAGGGGTATATACAAAAAACAACCCCTGTCATTATATTTGTTGCAAAATACAGATTTTTGAAAAATAAAATGCCTTTGTTGCTAGTTGAAACTCAAGACCTCCATTTACCAAGTGGTTAGTCTAACCAACTGAACTATGAGAGTTTGCCACTTTCTTTTTTCAATTCAAGACAATTGATCTTATATTTCATAGATTTTCTATAAAATTCAAAAAAAATCATGAATTATAATATATATATATATATATATATATTTGATGTGTCGCGTAATTTTTTCTAATAATTAGCAGCTAGTATAATTTTACCAAACTAAGCAATTGGATTAGAGTTTGTGAGATTAGAAACAAAGGCCCGCAACCCATGATGTGCAAAAGAGATGGACCAAAGGACCACTATGTGGATTTATGATGATTCCCATCTTGAACCAACCCACATGAAGTGGGCCTCTTAAGTCACTTAGAGCTAAAATCTAGCATCTATCTTTTTAGATTTGGGCCCACATCCGTGTTAGAATTTATCAGATGGTGTGAAACACAAGCCTAACATTAAATAATTGGAAGTGCATTGATGACCAAAAGTTGGGAGAAATTCAAAAATATCCAGATTTATAAGTGTTCATTCAAAAATAGTCACAATTTCAAAGGTAATCGAAATTTAGCCATTTTTTATGTAAAGATAAATCTGAACGAAAATACTATTCAAAATCCGGAAAATACTCCAGTATAATATACCGGTCCAACATAATATACGGGAGTTTGGAGCACCGATGCTCCAGTCTCCAGCATATTATACTGGAGCTAGCAAAGTATACCGGTCAAGCATAATATGCTGGAAGTTGATACACAAGTGCACCGAACTCCAGTATATTATGCTAGACCGGTCTCTATTGCAGCAAAATAATGACTATTTTTCATTGACTTGGTAAACGCTGGCTATTTTTAAATGACAAGTCCGAAAACTGGCTAGACCGTGCTATTTTAACCCAAAAGTTCCATATATAGAATTTTTTGCTTACTCCTTAAATTTACACCAAATCATATAAATTTACGTAATTAAGCATAATAGAAAGTAATGGACTCTATTATGATCTTACAAATCTAAAGATCGCAAAATAGAAAACCGAGCTCTTTTGCCGCCCCTATCTTATAATATTTGGTTTTCCTATTTGTTGAAGAAAAATGATAATATAATTACCTTAATTGGGTTTTCCTTTTTGTAGAAGGAAATTATAATTGTCCTATATTTGGCTAGTCCTTTTTCTTGTAGGAAAAAGTTTCGACTTCTATAAATTGAGGATCCATCCTTCTCATTCAATATCATCCACAATGTAGCCATATGGGGCTTGAGAGTTGTGTTTAGGGGGAGAAATCTACGGGACAAGTGTTAGTGTGTCACTTGTGTTTGCCTCTTAGTGAAGTTGTTCTCTCGATATTTTGTACTCTCTTTTTATATAGTGGATTGCTCATCTCCGCCATGGACGTAGGTCAGTTGACCGAACTACGTTAAATATTTGTGTCTCTTTTGGTATATTTCTCTTTTGTTGTATGATATATCATCGTTCAAGTTTGCTTTGCTAGCTTCCGCATTAGGGCTGTTCATTCGGATCGGATATCCGAAATCCGAACCGATCCATTCAATTTTGAATTTCGGATTTTGGATTATGTTTTTTAAAATTTCGGATTTCGGATCGGATTTCGGATTGGTATATTTTAATCCAATCCAATCCGAAATTATTAGGACATGTATAAATACTACACTTTAATTTACATCAACCTCCAAGTTATTACCTTTACAATTGCTAGATTTAGCTATATTGACATCATAGTACTCTCATAATTACATAAACATGAATTTTTCTTAATGTATTGCCTCTTTTACAAAGAAAATATACATATTAGTTTAACTTTGAGGCATAATAATACGATCCGATATCCGATCCGATTCAAACTTTAAAATCCGATCCGATCCGATATAATTCGGATCAGATTCGGATTGCATTTTCTAGAATCCGAAATCTGAAATTCGAATCCGAAATATGCTAAATCCGATCCAATCCGATCCGTGCACAGCCCTATTCCGCATGACACCTGATTTTTTTCGATCCTAACAGTAAGCAATTCACTCGCTAGAAATTAATGTTAGAATATACATTCATTAAAAGTACATGTAGATAACATGTGTTATGCATTCATTCATTTGATGTAAATATAAAAGTTTTTTTTCCCTTGTATCCACTATTTCAGACTCAAAATGTTGAATGTACATAAAAATAAGAAAAAGAACAACTGAAATATTGATGTTGATAGAGTCATAATGTCATATAGATATAAATAACATTTATTGCCTTTCTATTATCCATTTGATAAAATATTTGAGTTGCTATGGTTTGGAATCTTGGAATGAATGCGGTACTTAATGGTATTGAAGCCTTGACTTCAACCACCGAGGGAGTGGCGCTGGGTCTTTGTTTGACAACCCAATTTGCAGATTTCTGACTTTGGTTTTCAATGTTGTCTATTTCGACTGTGGGCGAACTCATCAAATTGCTAGTCATTTAAATCTTGGTAAAGATCTGTTTTAGAATCATAAGGGCAGAGGCGCACCCAAGATTTTAACGTGATGAGGGCACAATATTCGGTTCAACTAGTGCCGCATAAAGGCTTTTAGCGTTCAGAGTGCCAAGCGATTTAAATTAATCATTTCTAAGGTATATATATACACACACATACAAAATTTCTGTCAAAGTTTACGGGGTCCAGTGACTCCTTAACATAACACATAAGTCCGCCTCTGATAAGGGATCATCTGATTTGTGGATAAACTAATACAAGGATCGTAATATAGGAATTAAAAATTTCTTACTTATTTAGTACATTTACTTTTTTTGGTGAATGCTTGGTTTATAATCTAAAACATGTGTTTAATTTGAAGCTGAATAAATTTTAGTTACACATTTTTTATTCTTTCAAGAAGCAGAAGCTGAAAAATAGTTCTTTTAAACCAAATAAATAAATAAATAAATAAAAAATATATTATCAAACTATCTTTTAAGCCTTCTAATTAATTTTCAGCTTCTAATTCGGCTATTCTTCATTTCTCCTACTAATCAAAGCTGGATTAAGCCCAATGTCACTAAAGCAATATGCCTCAAGCACTAAAAATTGAAAGGTCCCTAGTGGATCAACCTATTTTTCCATTTCAAAATAGATTTGAATTATCGAAAAGTATAAAATTATTAACGTTCTACTCAATAGTAAAAAAGTTGAAATCTCCGGATAATGTAAGTTTAAGAAACATGTATGAAATCATTTTTAATCTTAAAACATATTTGAACTATTTAAAATATATAAAATTATTAGATGAACATAATTTGAAAAGATTACATTAACTTTGAATGGTTTTAAAATCTTACCTAACTCGTTATGAATAGTCGAGATACGTGCAAGAAAGCTTGAAGACCAACGTTCATGTATGGATTTTATTGTACAAATGCAAATCTCTTATTAAAATTTGGATTCAAGCTACTAATTTAACAAATATTTTTTTTATTTGTTAATAAGTTCGTGCTTTTCCTGACATGTTAAAAACTAAAAAGTTTGATGAACAAACTTGAAAACTTGGAAAGAACATTTACTGCTTCTAGTGTTATCATACAAGGAAATAATGTGAATTAGTAATTAAAATTGTTAAATAACGAACACAAGGAAATAATAAAGTTTTTATAGGTTTATTCTAGCCAAATAAAGACAGAGAGAACTAAAAATTACTTGCAATTTGAGAAAATTAAATAAAAAAATTTAGAAAGGAAATTTACTGCATTTTTAAATGCTAATACAAGGAATGGGGCAAAAAACATCTTCCTAAGGATTAAATCATAGTAGGTGAAGAAAAAGGGATTACAGCATAGTCAAATTTACCGTTTGAATGGCTTAAACTCAATTCACCCAAAGTAAAAAGTCATCTATAGGAAGAGTTTCACCTAATCCAGGCCTCTGCCCGTAAAAGTAAATTTAGAGATATTTCTCCTATTTTACCTTCATATATAATTTAAGAAAAAGAGTATTTTAATTATGATGTAAGGAAATAAAGAGATTAGGGTATAGATTATTAAAAACATAACGGAAAAGCATAAAAAAAAATTCCTTTATTATGCGAAAAAGATCATTTATACCTCGTTATACTATTCGTTCACCACAGCCTCTAATGTCACAAAATAGGTGCAAAAATACTCTTTCTTCGTTAGGACCTTCACCATGTCCAATATCATCTTACGTGACCTAAGAAAAGTACGCGATTAAATAGAAGTTAAAGGTTCCTTTCTCCACATAGGATGGTATTTGTCATGGTGGAGTTCTTGACGGCATAAGGGTATTCTTGCACATATTTTGTAGCGATCTTTGTGAGATCAATTGTTTAATTCCCACTAGCTACAATCTCTTTTAATTTTTTAATTTTTTTCTTTTTGTGAACCCCGAAATTTTGCCTCCACCATTGCTCATGACTGTGTAGTAGATGGCCTCTTAGTCGACTCATCTTACAGTTAGAACTAAAGCATTGGCCTCTATAGCAGGTTAAGTCTAAACACGTCTGTTTCACCAAGTTTCCATCCATCTACTGCAGTTCAGAATGAATTCTATTTCAGCAAATTGATTCTAAATGAGTTAATATTCAATATCCGAAATATTGGGTTATGATGTTTAAAATACTACAATTATATAAGGAATTTAAACATTTTAAGAATATAACATCTAATATTTGCGTAAGATTACAACTTTGATCCATGTCTTCGAGACGAGTTAAGAAAACATCCTATTTATAAAAAGATAATTCCCTCTCTACAAAATAATTGACTAGTGTGTGTATATATATAGAGGTAAATCAATTTTTTTTTAAAAGAAAAGGAATGGTGCAAAAATTCCTTAATATATTTAGGATCCCAATAATTAATTGTTGTATAAATAGGAGTAGAAATTATTGTCCGTCTATCTACCATTCCATTCCTTAGGATTACGAGACATTATATAGAGACCCCCCCCCACAAAAAAAGAAAGTGTTCCCAATCCCTGTATAAGTAGGTGTAGAATCGAATCCTTTTCCTTTTAGGATTAGTACTCCATAAGCATTATATAAACCCAAACAAACGTATTCATTCCCAACATCAACAACTAGCATTAGTACTGTCATGGGCTACTTTCCAGACACGCTCCATGACCCCTTGGCCGCGCCCCATGGCGGCCTAGCAAGCCTCACAATGCCTAGCGCCATGGTCGGCCNGTTCTCCCGCACGGCACTGACAATCTAGTCTAGCTTGCGGAGGGGACCTCATTGGCGGACAACAACCGCACTGACATCGGTTGCTTAGCCTTACGTTGCTCTTCCAAAGAACATCAGGAAGGCGTTGCGTAACAGTACGCATTAATGGCGTGTCTTAAACCATCAACTAGCAGTACAAAACGGCAATATGGTTTTGATATGGTTTTGGGGATGACGAGAAGCATAAAAAAATAATTGAGGAAAGCACCAAGGCTGCCCTTGAGAAGATGATAAACGTTCGGTTCCTACACAATCTCTGGAGTTCATTAAGTACAAGCCTTTCCAGCAATTTAATTCGGAGTGGTGGAGATGCCAGTGGACCCTATCGAGCCACCTAAGTTCAAGCACAAAAAGATCCCTAGGGGCTCTGGTTCACCACCTGTGCCTCTTATGCATTCTCCTCCTCGTCCTGTTACATTGAAGGATCAACAGGATTGGAAGATTCCGCCTTGTATATCAAACTAGAAGAACCCAAAAGGTTACACAATCCCCCTTGATAGGCGTCTCGCTGCTGATGGCATCAGGGGACTTCAAGAGGTGCAGGTCAATGATAATATGGCAAAATTTTCGGAGGCTTTGTATGTTGCAGAGGAGAAAGCCAGAGAAGCGGTTGCAATGCGGTCAAAGAGCTGATGATGAAAGCTAAGGAAAAGAAAGAGATGGAACTGTTGCAGGTTCACTAATGAATGATATGACTAGTGTGGATTATATACAGAGAGAGAAGATACGACGCCGCGAGAGGAGATTGGATGAGGCAAAAAATGCTTCAGCAATGAGTGGTAATAAGAAGAGAAAGATCAACAGAGATAGAGACCGTGATATCAGCGAGAAGGTGGCTCTTGGGATGGCTTCTACATCAAGAGGCGAGGTCATGATGTATGACCAGAGATTGTTCAACCAAGAGAAGGGGATGAATTCTGGATTTGCCAGTACCGATGATGCCTACAACATCTATGATAAACACTTATTTACTGCTCAGTCTACTCCATACAGACGGAAGAAAGACGTGGATTCTGATGTATATGGTGGTGCTGACGAGCAGCAGCAGCTGGAGAAGATCATCAAGACGGATCGCTTCAAGCCTGACAAGGCATTTGCTGGAACATCTGAGAGGACTGCTCCAAGAGATAGACCTCTGGAATTTGAGGATGCTGATCCATTTGGTTTGGACCATCTCTAGCCAGCGACTAAGAACAACATGGAAAATGACTCTTATTCAGCGCTCAAGACAGACTCAAGAATTGGGAGGAGTAGCTAGACTTACTCTCTGTCCATTTCCTACAAAATATATTTAAAAGAGCATACAAATTGTTCATTCTCCTAAATAATCAATTTTCAAAGCATTTATATGTTTTTTCAATACATTTTTCCATTCGTCATATTACCCGGTCCCTCAGCATCTATGCATCTAATTTCATTTCTTGAATCTAGTAGATTTCATTTCAGTTTTTTCTCATGTACGTCTCATTGCAGATGTAAGTATTGTCCCGCACCTATATGTTTTTAAGAAGTACTATGAGAATTCAGTTGTGCTCCATTTGGCATTAGTCCCATCAACTCAACCTGTAACTTTTACTTATATCTCTGTTTTCCCCACCTACCGCATTTTTTTTACTTTCTTCCAGCTTTTGTCACTACACAGGTTCTGATAGAGCAGGTTGAGTGACATGATAAAGCAATTCAGAATTTTCACTTGAATTTACTTATCTTTTTATTAAAAGTACGAAGATGCCAAACAATCAAGTCCATTTGTATAACATAAGTGGCAAAAGAATTTAAGCAGATATCGATTAATTTTTTCCCAGCTCTTAAAAAGTATATACAACACAGTAAGAACATGAAAAACATCGACACATATTCTTTACTATTATATTAAAAAGATAAACTTCCCTCTTTTTTATTTCTTTTTCTAAGGTAAAAAAGACAAACTTTCTTCCACCATACTCTATGCTCTTTTTTGCTCACTCATTGATGGTTTAGTTTTACCTATTCCTCCCACCCTACAAAACAAACCTAAGATATCTCAATTGTGTGTAATTGTTCCTCACATTTTTATCCACATGAAATTTTGTTAAACTTCAAGGAACAACAGATGAATTGAGACCAAACTATAGCCTAAGATTCAAATCTACACACAATCATAAAGTGGAAGGCTAGAAGCATACATACAGCTCTCATTGCGATAATCAAAGCAACTACAGCAATCTATATAATGCAGTCAACATATTTTGTGATATTACCAAGAAAGGCCTGCAACCCATGATTTGCAAAAGAGATGGAGCAAAGGACGGGGCATTTGCACCTATACCTTCTTTTTGGGTCACATTTTAACTTATACCCGCTTTGCAAAAAAAATTTGCAAGCGTACCCACTTTTCGCGTAACTTCAGACATACAGGCCTGAAGTAGCAAAATATTTTGCCTGAAGTGTAGCAAAACTTCAGATATTTTTGCATGAAGTTTGGCCTGACTTGCAAACTTCAGTTCATAGTGCAAATGGTAAAGTTCAATAACACAAACAGCATGTGTTGACTGAAGTTTTTGTTCGTAATTGCTGAACTTAAGCATTCTAGTAGCTGAAGTTTTGTTCTGTATTTGCTAAACTTCAGTATGTGTTGGCTGAAGTTTTTATTTGTAATTGCTAAACTTAAACATTCTAGTAGATGAAGTTTTGTTCTGTATTTGCTGAACTTCAGCATGTTTTAGCTGAAGCTTTGTTCTGTATTTGCTGAATTTCAGCATGTTTTAGTTGAAGTTTTGTTCTATATTTGCTGAACTTAGCATGTTTTAGCTGAAGCTTTGTTATGTTTGTGATGAACTTCAGGGCTGAAGTTTATTTTGTATTTGCTGAACTTCAGCTTTCTAGGAGCTGAATTTTTTTTTATATTTGCTGAACTTAGCATGTTTTAGCTGAAGCTTTGTTATGTTTGTGATGAACTTCAGGGCTGAAGTTTATTTTGTATTTGCTGAACTTCAGCTTTCTAGGAGCTGAATTTTTTTTTATATTTGCTGAACTTTAGCATTCTTCGATCTGAAGTTCTAAAACAACAATGACAAGTTGTCATTAAGATCCAGTTGCTAACTACTATTTATTGTATATTTTAGCCTTAGAATAACGGAATTATCAGAAAATTTGAAAAGCAATACTCCCTATAAAACAAGACCATTAGTAAAAGAAACCATAGTTTTACCCATATCCATTTTGATGCTATCTGAATCGCTTTAACATATCACGAAAGAAAAGGTCAACCTGTTGTTGCTCGACTTTCTCTTCTAGATACAAGATACTTGGAGTACCAACATGCAAATTTGGGTACTGCCGAAGTTACCCTAAATGCTGGGACAGTCTTCATAACTATCTTTCCAAATTTTAACATGTCCCTTTATGACCCGTACCTAACCGAATCCCTAAAAATCCAAGTCCAAATCCAGGGAGCCCCACAAGCCAAAGATTCTATCCAAGCCACTCTTCATCACCAAATGGAGTGGCGGGTCCAAAATCATGCCATGGGTCTCTACCTTCCCAGAGGAGAAAATGCTTTACTCTTGAATATTGATGCTACCAAAGGAAACACCATGTGCNATTAAATATTGATTCTACCAAAGGAAACACCATGTGCACCCAAATACCCAGATAAATTTCTAGAGATGAGCTTGTCAAAATTCTTCCTGATTCCTGGATCACAAATTATGAAACGTTAAGGGAACCAGAAGAATCTCTACAATCTGGTGAGCCAACTTTTACCAAAAGAAATGACAAAACTGTTTCCATAAGCTTTGACCATTCCCATCTCAAAAAACCCAATAAAACCATCTTTCTCTTGTCAAATGATTCAACCCAAAGATACAACAGATACATACCTGAACCTGATGGAGAGTTCTTCTGGGATATACAAAGCATCATGGAAGAACATGACTGGTGCCAACACTTTAACAAACAGGGTAAATGAGTTTGGTGGTTCAAATGCCCCTTCACAGGACATTGTCCATGGGATCTTGGTTGTGACTGCCAAGACTGTTTGGAGGATCCAATTGGAGAATATGATGAACACCACCAACATCATTGGGAAAGGTTCGGCCTTAACGAAACCAAAGCAAAATTCAAAAAAAGGGAAAAACCACTGAAAAACAATTTTTAGCCAAATATGAAAATAAAGATCCTTCAGTTAGCTCATTAAGCCGTGTAGGTAAATATGATTTCTTATCAGTTATAAACCCCAGGAATAGCCAAAATTACGAGAAAAGTTCACTCCAAGTTGGGCAGACAACGAAGTAACACCCAAATCCAAACCACCATCAGTTCATACCCCAAAGTCCAAAAATCCATCTGAGCTTAAAACTCCATCAACCCAAAAGTCCACACAACCACATATATTTATGCTAAGTCCTTCAAGCTCCAGTCATACCCAAGATTTTCCTTCACTCCAACCCTTTGAAAAGGAGGGTATCAGCCATGCTCCAAAAATCCCAAGAAAAATATAGTACTACCTACTGGAGAAAAAACCCCAACAAGTGACATCGAAGCAACAATTAACTGACAATTAGAAAATTCCATCTGTCAAAACAAAGTGCTCAACAATATTGGCAACACCATAAAAAACGTGGCCCGTACACAAAACAAGATAATGAGCAAAGTGGAAACAATTAAGAAAAAGGTGGAGCAGCCATCGTCTCACCATGCAGGACTAATCAAAGCATTGAAACTAAGATTGACCAATTTACAATATGAAATTTGTCCACCGGGAACTTTACTTTTCCAGTTCTTCCAACAACAATAAAAGGAGACGATTTCCATCAAGGAACAAATTCAACTTCTGAAAAATAATCACTTTGAGCCACAAAAAGCCCCAGTTCCCCTTCATAATCTACCTTCTACCCCATGTCACCACAAGCATATTCTCCTCCAAAATTGGACTACACCTTTTCTACTTTTCTAACTACCTCACAAAATCCCATTTCTTTCACCCAACCTTTTGAAAGAAAAAACTGAATTCGATATCGCAAAAATGGTTTAGGAAAGGAAAGATGCCCTTGCAGCCCAGAAACATACCAAAAAAAGGCAAGACTAAGGAGAAAGTTCAAAAGGGTCTAACCCCAAAAGTTTGATGATTTTTGATCATAAGACTCCAGGCCTCTATGTCTCCCGGGCAAGAAATATACCAGAATAAGATACCCCATGGTCAAAATCTCTAAATTCATCAGACGCTGAAACAATGGAAGATAACTCTCAATCAAGCAATGAGTCCACAACAAACTCTTCCGAAGAAGACGATCCCCCAATCTTTGTAAGCCAACCAAGAGACCCAAAAATATCTGAAGTAGAGGATGATCAAGAAGGCATGACGGATGAGCCAATCCCAGAAAGAAGACATGAACCCATGGCATCAAAATCAATTGGAACTGGCTTCCACACTTTCACCTTAGATGACGTCAAGGTTTTAAAATGGCCTCAAAGGATACAAGACTTCTATACTTGGATAGTGACCAAAAATTTGGTGGAACAAGAAAAGTATATCATTCTTTCAGAACTAACTTCCCGGTTCTCAGGAATCCTCAGAGATTGGTGGAATTCACTTGGGATTCAAGACAAAATACTTTTCTTACTTCCCAGGATTTTGCCTTCAACATGAGAATCCTACATGAAGTTTTTTGTGGAGATACTAGCCAAAGACAAGAGAAAATGCTAAGACAGCTCTTTGAGATGAAGTGTGTGTCATTTGACAGAAATGACATTGATAGACATTTTCAAAAAATAGCAAAGATATACTTTGAAATTGGTGGAAACATCAACCTGAAGCAAGCCTTTGTCTCTTCCATTCCAAAGTTGTTGGCTAACCAAACCATGACCATCATTGAAGAAAAGTTTTAGTCAATAACAATCCCACAAGTTGTCTACATCAGGAAAGCTATTTTCGTCGCATTAGATGACATTTGTACAAAGCGCTCAGCCCTAAAACAAATTATCCAACACAATCCAGCGCTTGACAAAGCATGTCGCAGATCCGATCTGATTACTGGATCAGGATATTCCTGCCACACAACCAGGAGACAAAAAGGATTTAGGAGGTTCAGATGGCTAAGAATTCCAGATGGAAAATCAAGGTCCAAGAGACGTGCAAAATATTTTAGACGTAGAAGACCAGGAAATTTTCACAAGAAAAACAGATGCTTTATTTGCCAC